AATGCATTTTTTTTTTTCAAGGATTAACATGCTGACTTCAACTTGTCCTTAGGCAGATGACATAGGGGATTCTGAAAAGTTTGGGAAGTTTTATCTTTTTTTAAATATATAGAGAGGCAGCTCTTCTCACTGTGAAGGTTTCTGCAGAACTCCTGCACCAGCTTACAGCGTGGTGCACTTTGTAAGAAGGCCCTGGTGGGCTGCAGCCTCTGACATGATGGGTGGCCTGCCCCTTTCCAGGCGCCTTGACTCCCAACTCCAGCATTGTGATTTTTACGCCACGGGCAAACTTAAAGTGGCCATAATGCCGTCACAGCTCAGCAACATGCCATTCCCTTAGCAGCTAGACAACTTTTTTATTTTTATTTTTGGGGGAGTAGAAGTCTATTTTGCAGTGACACCCACTGTTTCTCAGCATGGCTCAGGAGTAAGATGGGGAAGGGTGAGGTTTTTAAACTCATCTAGATGCAAGCTGAGCTCTCCTTTGTTGGTGGTCTTCTGGCTCTGGTTTGGCCAGAGCCGAACTCTGAGGCTTGGAGGCTGGAGGTCAGGCCGTCTCCTTGCTGCCCAGCCTGGCCACTTGGGCCATAGGAGCTGTTGTTGTGAACGCTGCCCATTGCCCAGGCTGGCTGGCAGGGAGCTCTTCAAGGGCAGTACAAATCCACTGTGTATATGTATTCTCAAGTTTAAATAGATTGTACATATTGAAATGTAAATGAACTGTAAAACAGCAATCTCTATTTTTCTTGACAGTTATATAGCAGTATATATTTGTTAAACATGCTTGTATACTCTTCATTAACAATTTTAATATTTTGCACAGATAAGTTGATTAAATATTTTATTGATACAACTTCTTCAGACTGGTTTTTAGAGAACCGCTTTTGACTTGTTATTTAACCTGTGTTACCCTCCTCCTACCGCTTAGCACTAAGAACAGAAGTCAGCCCCGTAGGCCTTTGAACTGAACCTCATTGAAACAGGCCTGCCCAGTACCTCTGGGCCCATTAGTTTTTATGCTGACCATTCCCTCTTGAAACGCTTTGAGCTCTAATGTGGAGCTGTCCACAGGGATGGGGGTCTCAGCATGGGGCTGTGCTCCCTGGGGCTTTGTGACTGGTGTGACAGTGTGTAGGACACCGTGCACAGCCCCTTACTGCATGGAGCCACTGCACAGGAAGGCAACCAAGATTGCGGTCAGGACGGAAGCCGCCACATGCATTGGGAAACATTTTCTCTTTGGGAAATGTTTGTAATGAGTGAGTGTTGTTATTCCCAACACAGTTTGAGTGGAAAGGTTTCTGGCTTTCATACACATCAGGCTGCTGTGGGATCCATCTCACCTCAGAAAACATGAGCCCTCCCACTGGAAGCCGCAGTTAAGTGTCTAAGTCCAAAGGCACAATGCTCAACTGTAGTGGCTTCCTCAGCAAGGCCAGCCACAGATTTCAGGGAAACCAACCAAGTCCTACAGCAAACCTGAGAGGGCGTCATGCTCAGGACTCTCCCAGACCAGTGTGGAGATCTGCGCTCAGCAGCACTGCCTGGGACCCTCTGGCATGCATCCCAGATGGGGCCAGACAGCACCAACCACTGCTCTCCTAGAAGGAAAACCCCTTCTCTGATCCTTACATAGTCCTGGGGTAGAGCGGCAGGGGTGGAAGACGACAGGGATTTGCCTTCACCACTGGCCCATCATGGGACCTACCTCCTCTGGGATGCGGACCGGGCCTCTTCGTGAGGGCAGGCAGGACAGGTGGGCTGTGACCCAGAGTGGCTGCCATGGCTGTGGTGTCTCTCTTTGGTGGAAGGTCAGTCGGGACAGTGCACTCCCTTTTAGCTTCTTAATTTCATTACTACTAAAGGAGTCTTTCTCTTTAAGAAAAGCTGTGTTTCCCTTTCAATGAACTTGTTTGGTAGGTACAATAAATGTGTTTTATGACCCTACCACCAAAATGGGTGAAGTCTTGTCATGCTGTGTCTGTAACAATCCACGGTCGGTTCTTCATTTTCTTATTTTCCAGTCTCCACTTGACCTGGCCAGCATTCTGTAGTTGGAGGGTCATACACTCAGTACAGAAGGGGTAGTTACACGGACATAGGACTCAGGGGCGGCATTTAGTTGAAAATGCCCTGCAATGGCTGATGCTCAAAGGAGGTGCAGATTGACTTCCCCGCTCCCTCCTGGTGAGCCCAATGCCTGCTTGTTTCCAATCAGGCTGAGGCAAAGATGCCCGACTGCTGCCTCAGCTGGTTATGGATGTGTTGTGTGCCTGGACCCCTGGAGGTCCTGCACGCTTCTGCTCAGAAGGAACAGTGATCTGGGGAGAAACTTGTCCACTGCAGCGCCTCACCAGTGTGCATCCTAATCACACGCAGGTGTGCAGCCCTTCAGCAGCGGCCAGAGGAGGAAGCCCAGCTGTGCTGCTGAGCCTGAGCAGGGTGGATTTGCAGGGGCGGGATTCTAGCCCCTTTGTGAGGGAGGGAGCCCCGCAGGTGCACACGCACCCCCTGGCTGTAATGGACGCCCAGTCACGGGGTCACATTCCCATCCCAGGGAAGAGGAATTTTCCCATACACTTACCCAGCAAGCAAGCCTGTCCCAATGCAGGGAGGTCAGCACAGGCCCCTTTGCCAGAATGTCTGAGGAATGCAATACAAAATGAAAACGCACAGCTCTCCCAGACCACGGTCTAGCATATTGTTGCTGTTAATTCCCACTTGGGGTGCTGCATGGGGTTAGTGCTCAACAAGTAATAACCACATATTTGGCAGTTGCTAATACCCAAACTCCAGAGGTTTTCTAATCATAGAAGGATGGAAGGAACAGTTGCAGCTGGAGGGGACAAGAATGGGCCATGAGGTGTAGTGTCCTTGCTTTCTCATAGTCCCCCAGAGCCAGAAAGCTAACAGGCAGTGTGCTTGTATCTGTCTGACCCAGTTGTGCACAGCTCACCTGGGAAACACTAAAGGGACAAAAGAGAAAGTCCCTTTCTCACTTCTATTTACATATTCAGTTTTGAGGGAGAGTCCCTGAGATGTGACTCCTTGATTGTCTGGCCAAATGAGAGAGAATAGTGTTTCTTGAGAACTTGCATATTAGGTGTGATAGAAACTTCTGTTACTTTAGATAACAAAATCTATTGAATATTCTGTGTGGCAGGCTCTGTTTGATAAGCCCTGAGAAGACAGGGGTGACTAAGACACAAATCCCATCACTCAGGACTCTTCTCTTAAGGTCAGGAAGTTTGATGGTGGGGGCAGGGAGGAACAGACTCACAAAAATATAATTCCTGCAAAAATGGTCAGTACTTCAATTGAGATGTAGCCAGGGCACCATGAGGGCTCGGAGGGAGGGAGCGAAGAGGACTGCTCTGGGAGGTAGCAGCAGTTGGGATTTTGGGCCAAGTCTCCAGGAGGTGTGGAGAGTCACAGGCAGTCTCAAAGTTGGAGCAGTTGATTGCAAACATTTCAGAGAACAGCGCATGTTCAGAGGCACCCACAGCCATTAGCATCTGGAGTACCGGGCGGCTGCAGCAGAGCTGCGGTGGGCAAGAGCTTGTGACTTCTGACTCCTGCAGGCACACAGGCTTTCCTCCTTGGGGACCACTACCTGAAGAAACCCCCGAACCAGTCTGTTTTCATTCTTTTAAAACTGATCAGTAGTTACCAACTATCTATTTTCACTTCCCGTGCCTTATTTGCCCTTCCCAGGCCTCCCTTTCCCCACCCTCCATGCTCACCAGACTGCCCGCTGTTGCCTCCAGGAGGCAGCATGATGCTGTGGCAAGAAGGGGATGAAGTGAGGCTCTAGAGTAGAGGCCTGCCTTTGAGTCCCAGCTGTCACTCCGCAGCTGTGAGATTCTGAGCAAGTCACTTACCTTTGCCTGTTTGTGACGATCTGCACAATGAGTATGACATAACCTCCCACGACTGTGGGGCCTAAAGTGCAGGGAGAGCAACTTCTTTCTCTGCACTCGCTTCCTTTCAAACCCATCCAAGCTCTGCCTGTCCTTCAGGCATCGGGAGCAGCCGCCTCCCCCAAGCCTTGGGGAGTTTTCTCTTGACAGAGTTTACTGCACCCCAGAGGCTCCTCCGGACCTCACCGGTCTCGCTCTGGAGATGCCTTCACTCAGGGGGAAGAGGACAGACCGGTGTCCCTCAGCAGCTCCCCACCCCGACCAGTGTGATTACTCACCTACATTCTGATGGGGCACAGGCAGGGGACCTAGCCTCCTTGGAAAGGGGAAGAAAGCTTTTCTGTGCTCAGCACTCCTGCAGGGGAGCTCCAGCCTTAAGGCCGCAGAGAGATATTTGTTCACGGAGCACACTTAGCTCCAGCTACTGACAGCTACTTAAATGCCATCCCTCAAGGGACAGAGCAGCCCAGGTATGTCCTCTTCTCTCCTGCAAGAGAAAGTCAGCAACAAAGACAATGCCTAGTGACAAATAAGAAATGCTTTGTTCTGCCCATCTTTCTAAATCAACTGTAAGCTTCTCAGGGCAGGGAATGCTGCCCCTGCATGGCCTGGGGGCAGAAAACTGAGCCAGGTGAGAAAGTGCTGCCACCCCACATATGAATCACAAATGCTAAGAATCAGGTTCCAGGCTGGGTGAAACAATGCAGAAACAGATACCATGGGGTCCGCCATTGCACTAGAGAGAAGAGACACTAAAAGAAAGCGAACTTGCTCTCCTTTTCCTTTAGGAACCATATTACAGAGCATCTGTCATAAGCTGGACAAGGTGCTAAAGGCTGTAGGGACAACCTCAATTAGCTCTATTAAATAAAGACAAACAAAAAATCCTCCCCCAAACCAGAATCCAAACCTGACGCAAGTGATTTCATAGAGGAGATGGAAGGTGGCGGCGCTCAGGAAGATAAGCCTATGCAGTATCTCGAAGCTAATAGCAGAGCCAGGATTTGAACCCCGGCTTGCATTTACTGCTTAAAGAAGAAATTTGCTTCCTGGTAAAGAAACAATGAGAGCATGGTGGGGTTTTTTTAAATGATTATTTTTGTAAATTTTACATAGTCTCAAAGTTACACAAAAGTTACAAGTACAAAGAACACTTTTTCCCTCTGAACCATTTGAAAGTAAACTGACACGATGCCTGATCACCCACTGACACTTTAATGTGTCTTTAGTACAAATGAGGACATTCTCCTGCTCCTCCACAATCATTGAAATCAGAAAGTTAATAGACTTCTTACTCCCACCTAATCTTCAGGCCCCATTCAAGTTGTGCAAACTGCCCAACAATGTTTTTATAGCAGGACCACCTAATCCAGAATCAGGTGTATTAAACTGGCATGTCTTCTTAGTCTCCTTAAATCTGCAATTAAATTTTAATAAAATGTAGGGTGAAGAAAATCAAGCCTTCAGAGGTCACTGGCTTTCCAAGGGTTGAGCAGAGAAGTGGACGTGAGCCATTGGTCCATGAGCACCACGGGGCTGACCACAGACATTATTTTCCAGTGTCCAGCACAGGCTGAGAATGACTGTGGGCACCGGTCATACCCAGTTTAGGCTTTTCACTCGGTACCAGTGGACTCCACAGAAAGTTAAATCATGAGCAAGGATTATCTGTGTGGCTGACTGGGACACACACACAGAAGTGGATTTCATCCACTGCTTTTCAATTTTAGTCATTTTTTTTAATGATCTTGAACAATAATAATTATTTTAGCCAATCCTTATTGAGATGATGCTCTTGGTCAGGCATTGTGCTACATGCTTTATCAATCTCATTCAATGCTTCCAACAACATGGGGTATGCATTCTTATTAATCCTGTTTGTAAATAAGGACACTGAGGCATGGAGAAACTGGATGAAGCTGCCTAAAAATCACACAGATGGTAAAGGCTTCCAGGGTTCACAGACCTTATCAACTCATACATATGCATGAGATGTTTAGTCTTAGTTTAGTTCCTAATGAAATAAAATGAACTTTAATCTCCTGAAATCAGATTCTTCCTTCTCTCAAAGCAGCACTGAGAAAGGGGCTTTTCAATTGAACAGAGAGACTTGGACTCAAGCCTAACTCTGGAGAACTCAGATACACCCTTCCTCTCCCAACACAGAGATCGGGTCAGGCAAGATCACAGTGCTGGTAAAACATGGTTTTCAAAAATATATTTGGTGCTTAGACGATAAACAGGAAATAAGAGCCAGCATCTTTTACTTTATCGTTTCACTTTTTATCATTTTTTAAGCTCTGAAAAACCAAAATAAGATAAAATTTGATGCATGTAGACTTTTGAAATATGGAGTGATGTAAAATAATGCCAACAAGTTGGGGAGGTTGCTCTTTATTCCAGTAGGTATGATTTACCCAGTAATTGCTCTAATTGCTTCAACTTAGCACTTCTGAGCCTCTCCTGTATGCAGAGCACTTCAGAGCTATGAGTCCTAGCTTCTAACATCAGATCTCTAGGTCTACCCACGCAGATGTCAATAAGAACTTGTGTGCAGCCCTGTGCCAGTGGCCTGTGTCTCCTGGCTCCTCCTTGCCTGCAGCTTGGTTTTCCCCTCTAAGAAGTCATCTGCACTGATGCAGAAGCCATGCCAAAGGATAAGAGCTTGTATAGTAACACTCACCACTGAGCTGGTAAGACATCAGAGCTGAATCTTTCATCAGGGACTTTAGGTTTTGAAAGGGAAGGACAACATCCCATTGTCCCTAAGGGATGATAACGTTATGAGGGATTTCCTTTAGGAGAAAACTGAATGCTTCTTCTGATTGATCATCAACCATCACTCCAGTCAGTGGAATTTACTGGCTCCTAAGGTCCCAGGATTGGGTCAGTTTAGGGAAAGCAGTAACACTGCTAGCCACTCTCAGCCAGAGACCAAGCTGCTTCCCTGCTGTACCTCCAGGTACCCACAGAAGGTGGATTCACATAATGGCTTGTTTTTGATTCGTTAATAAAGCAACTTCTTTCCAGCTAACAAGACTAATGCAGAAATGGAGAACTCATTTACAGTAATTCTCTATTCAGCAATTTAAAGATGCCCTTTCAAAAATGACTAGAATATTTTCAGAAGGAAAGAATCATAATGTGGTGAGGAACTCTACCCTCAGTGCCTGACACAGTACTTGCTTACAGCTGATCCCCAGTGGAGTTTCACTGAAAAAAAATCACAGAAGGGGCAACTGCACGTGGAAAGAACAGGCTTCGTCTGGGACAGCCCATGGCCTCCCCATGCTGGCTCTGGGGAAGAAGAGCCTGCAGGGAGCTCACAACCCGGCCAGCTAAGCCTAAGTGTGGAGCTTGCTGGCTGTCTTGTTGTGAGACGTACAGTTAACATCTGTCAACAGTTCTTATTAGTTGACCAAAGGAATGTCTGGAGAACTTTATTCTTTGTCTTGCACGGGTAGCTCAGGAAGTTAACACTCCTTGGGGAAGCTTCTCGGAGATGGGTACATGGAGTGCCTCTCCCGATGTTGAGCCTCCTCTGCGTGAGACTGTGCCACTGGAGGCCAGATAAAAGGCTGACTTGGTGCTCTGTGACCGGCTGTAAGACAGTCACGGGTGGGGTCTGCAGGCTGTCCTGGTATCCAGTCTGATTTTGATGAGCTCAGCTAAGACCTGTGCAAAGTTATTCTGGGCTGGTGAGCTTCCGCCTTAAGTTGGGTCCACTGCCAAGATCCGCTGCTCATCACTTCCTGCTATGGCACATGAGTGTGTCCTTCTCAGAGCCTCATAAACTTCACATAGCTGACTATACACTTAATATTCACTGGTCTCTTTTGCATATTCTAGTAAGTGTTTCATAATTCCTCTAGAGAGGCTATTCTACAATGCAGTTCAATCAAAATAGCCTAAATTAAGATTTCCTTTTGTCTGCAAGGATCCTGTCTACCAAAATTAACTGTATGGTGCCACTGGCTATCAGTGCTTGTTGCCTTGTGTTAGTGGTTATATTTTGGACAGATCATCCTTTAGCCAGTCAGCTACCATGTCAGCCATTTCCTGGTAAAAATGGAGGATAAAGGCATGAGGTATTTTTTTTTCACAGAGCCGAATGTCTCCTTCTGGAAAATCTTTCTTCATGTCTTCATAGTACTCTTTTGGACACCAAGCATCTATGGTACCATAGTAAAACGTAAGCTGAAAGATAAGACAAAGACATTTTATTAGAGAACACTTTCCCCTCCCAGAACAGACATGACACCAGCAATGTGCACGGTGTTGGAATAGCCCCTGCGCCCGGCCCTGAAGCTGGTCCCGAGGCTGCCCCCACGGAGCGGCTCTCTCAAGGCCGGGAGCCTTCATGGTTTATGGGAGCGAATCAGGAGGTGTCCGAAGGGAAGACCCATGGAGGGAGAGGCTGTGGGACAGATCACCCGTGATTCCCCGGAAGGTGTGGATGTTGAGGTTGGACCAGACACTGGAGAGATGGTAGAGGAGGACAATGAGGACTCACTGGGACAATGACCGAGTCACCAGTGACCACTCCTACTTGCCCACGGCCACGTGGTGGACATGTTGAATTCAAGTGAAGATGAATGAGACAGATGCAGGCTTCTCAATGGAGCAGGTGAAATGTGATCAGAACCCTGAGGGGGGCAAGCACATTTCCATGAAAAGGCCCCAAGGAGCAGCAGAGTGAACTGATTCGGTGGGAAGTGTTATAATCATACTTTAGGTGACAGCAGGCAGGCCAGATGGAGACAGAGCCTCCTTTGAGGCATTACTAAGCTCTGTACTGGATACTGATCTATACCCACCCACAATACATACACACACACACAAGTACACGCATGTGTATATATATGTCATGTACATACACACACAGAGTATATGTATATATGTATGGGTACATATGTCTACATACACATACAGACATCCCCCACTGTTTGAAAGTTCACATTACACCACTTTTTGCTTTTATGAAAGACCTACGTTAGTACCTGTTTTCATGAACCAAAAGAAATCCAAAGAGGATTTTTGCTTTTATGAAAAAAGGCAAAAGTGAGAAACTGCTCAGCATTTGTTTTGCAGTGAGCTATTATAAGAGGCAGTGCGTACCCCAACCAGTGTGCGGCCCCGCCAAGCTCCTTCCCCAGGAACCATACTCAGCACGTCAGCATCAAGACACCACAGCTGGGAACTGTGTCTGTGCGCACCTGTGCTTCATCTCTACTTATTTTGTGCTGTGCATTCATTCACAACAAGTGTCATAAGGTATCAGAAAAGCCTGAAAGAGATTATTTTTTGGGGACTGGGAATGCTCACATTTGTCCACATAAATCAATGGTAACTGCTTCTTTATGCCATTTTGATTTATGAAAGGTTCCACAGGACTGCTCCACATTTGGACAATGGGGGGAACCTGTTCCTTATCCTGGAGCCCATAGGAACTAACAAAAAACTTCACAAATGCGACCTGATCAGGTCTATATGGTAGGAAACTTATTCTGGTTGCAAGAGTGAGAGGCTGGAGGGTGTCAAGTGGTGGGGGAAGAAGGATATGAAAATATTCCTATAATAATCATTATATCCACGATCTGAATATGGACAGATGAGACTGCTCTTACAAAAACAATGACCTTTACTGTAATAACATGATGACTTAACCAATATATAAAGAGATGCTTAGTTAAAAAACACTTAAAAGAGGAAACATTTGATGCAATAATCCGGAGAGTCAATTATGAACCACTAAACCTCGAGTTACAGAATTATTCTGAGTCACTTCACAGAGATTTTTCTGGTTGTCACCTGGGGTTTTAGTTTTGCATGCTGCAAAGATCTGTGGCTCATAGATTTCTCATTTAATATGTTCTTCCCACTCTATTTTTGCTCACTGCAACCATTTCTGAAAACTCTAAAGCCCCTAAAACAAAAATTCACTTTGTCATGGTTCTTAGCAGAGTATGAGGCTCCTTTTGTGTCCTGGGGAAGAGGAGAGCCCTGCCGCTGTCTCCTTCTTTCCTCCTGGTGTCAGTCTCTCTGTAGCTCTGAGATGCTGTGGGTGTCTACTCTGTCCAGCTGTGGAAAAATAAGTTCCCCAGAATCTCTCAGCAACCACCCTGCTATAGCTTCCCTTTGAAACACCACTCGAAGTACAAGCTGTCTGCAGGCATTAATTGTCTACCAAGAGGGCTAATAACTAGGTTCTCTCCAAATGAGTCCCTTCTCTTACCACCAAGAATCCATCACATTTTATCCAGGCAATAGTAGTATATGGCACAGTCATTATGCACAGTTGTTCAGCACCTCCTCAGAGTATGAAACAGTGCTGAGGAATCTAGGAATTAGACTTGACCTCGTGTCCATCGGTCTGTTCCTCTGCTCCAGCGCGCTCTCTTGCCTGTAGATACTCGGAGAGCCCTCACTTCAGTATAAGCTATGGTGGTAAAGTCTGTGGAAGCTCCTAATACAAAAGGGTCAACTAGAAAGCAAGCAGGGCAGGAGGATGCCCCCAACATCTTTGATAAGGAAGACAATATGACTATACCGGTCGTTGCTTCCTGCCTAACATTTCAAAGACTACTTCTGTGGAGAACTTAGCATTTACTTGTCAGTGAGGCAATTACAACTTAAGATGTTTCCAATAAGAAGTCAACTTGATGAACCTCAGCACTGGGAAGTGCCATCCCTTAACTCATGCATCAAGGGCCGGACAGTTGAGCAGGAACAATAAACATGGATTAGAGGGACCCCTACACCTACCTTCAGGTATCAAGAGACAAGCTGTGTCCAAGTAGTTATGGGACATGCATGCCCCAGGTATGTACTAGGAATATCAACACAAAGTCATGTCAGTCTTTAGGATGGAGTAATGGAAAGGATTCTAGATTTCCCATATGTTCATCTGATTTTACTTCTCAATCTTCCAGGCCAGTAACCATTTAGAGTGGGTTGTATTTGGTTAAATCTCTAAGTGATAGTAGGGTAAGGTCTTTTTGTTTTTGTTTTTTTTGAAGTTCTTCCTCAGACTATATTCACTGAAGGACTCTCTATGAAAATCTTGGCTTGCAAGTAGAACACATGTCTATTCTAATGTCTTTACACACACTGGCTTAAGATACTTCCTGGTCCCTACAGATTATAAGTCACAGGCAATAGATCTGAACAGAGGACACTGCACCTGTAACCCTAAATAGGAAACTGAAAAAGTATGGGGTGTGTGGAGGTAGAGGTGGGAGAAGGGAAAGGACAGGTGACGAAGAAAGAAGGAACTGGACACCAAAGCAGGCTGGCTGAGAGTGTACACCATTATCATGTTGATACATAAAAACAAATGGCAATGAATAACAATGCATTCATGAAAACTGGCAATAACGTGCCAGGTTCTGTGCTAAGCTCTGTTCATTAAGTCCTCACAACAATACCCTGAGGAATGTATTTTATCTCTATTTCACAGGAAAGGAAATTGAGGCTTGGAGAGATTAACTTGCATTAAGTTTAAGCAATTAAGTGAGTTGTAAAGCTGGGTTATAAATTTGGTGGCCACATTTCTAATCAGTATCTTTTACTACTATTTGCAATTAACAACAAACTGACTCATGTTATGAAAACCGAAAACCTAAAGTCTGGGACATCTTAAAACTCGTCATGAAAACTAAATGAATGTGACAATCAGTGACAGGAGCAAACCCAACTTCTTCACTTAAAGCCTTCTCAAAGTCTATGTATTCCAGGACGCTGTGCATGATGGGAGACGTAAATGCTGTGAAAATATTGTAATTGTTAACTTAAGAATTTTAGGCTATTGGCAGGATGTTCACATTCACAGGTTTGTAAGAAAATAAATTATTTCCTATAGTTTATTTCTCCTTGGCACGTGCTTTTATTGAGATGGAAATTATTCTGTTTCCAAATTATTGTCATTTTGAATAATCCATTCCTCTATTAAATACAGAAGTTAATTTTCTCAGTTTTTCTACATTTTCTCTCAGAACTACACTGCTTTTCCTGGTGTGTTTTCTGCAGTAAAGTGGAGTTTTGGTTACTATAGTTTCTTTGTTCACAGAAGTACTTTCCTTTAACTCTTCAGTGTGCCCTTGAGGAGACACATCCCAGCTGAAATGTCCCTGCAAAGGGCTGCAGCTTGCCACCATTCGGAAGCTACCTTTGTTTTCTCTCTTTTTTTTTTTGCTTTTGTCCCTGAAACCAACAGGTTCATAGCAGTTCCACTAAAAGTGACTCTAAACCTCACCCATCTGGCATTGGCTAAGTGGCTGAAATTCAGAAGTAAGACACCTCTGCCCTGGAGAAGCTTCCAGACTAAGGAAGAACACGGGCATGTACCAAGTGGCCCTTCAACACAACAGGCAGAGAGAGAGGTATGAACAAAGAGGAGGCCAAAGTAGGAACCCCGCGTTCTGCCTGAGACAGTCGACAAAGCTTTGTTTTAGTACACAATTTGAGTTGTGGCTTTTATGCGTTACTAATAGAGGATTCATTGTGAGAACAAAAGATATATTAGAAAATATCTTATGACCCAAGTTTATATTTTTGATTTAGCAATACCTAAAAAAATCATTTTCAATGGTATATCAACATCTTAAAATATTAAAAATGAAAAAAGCCACAAAAATCTCTACCTGGTAGTGTATACACACACACACACACACACACACACACACAATGGAATCCTATTCAGCCACAAAAACAGAAGAAAATGTTGCCGTTTGTATGACAACGTGGCTGGACCTTGAAAGCATTAGGCTAAGTGAAATAAGTCAGATTCAAAAAGACAAATACTATATGATTTATTTATATGTGGAGTCTCAAAAAAACAAACAAACAAAAAAACTGAAACAGAGAACAAATTGGTAGTTGCCACATGTGGGGGTGGGAGGTGGAGCAATGGGTGAAGGTGGTCAAAAAATACAAAGGTCAAAATTGCCAATTGTAAGATGAAGAGTTCTGGGGACGTAATGTACAGCATAGTTAACAGTACTGTACTGCATATTTGAAAGCTGCTAACAGAGTAGACCTTAAAAATTCTCATCACAAGAAAGAAATGTGAGGTGATGTATGTTAACTAAACATTGTGGTAGCCATTTTGCAATATGTGTACATATTGAATCATTATGTTGTATACCTTAAACTAATACAATGTTATATGCCAATTGTCTCAATGAAACTGGAAAAAT